TTATTATCCGCTCGACGGTCTAGAGATGCGATTTCGCGATCGGGATCGGCGCGACGCGCGATCTCGCCGGCGCGCTACATCGCTACGGCTCTACCTCGCTGTCGAGCTCATATCTGGTGCAGTCGGCACGAGTTGGCGCTCTACGAAGCGTCGTCGCGCCGAGACGGCACGACCGGACCCGATCGTGACGACGAATTGACGACGATGCTCAAACGGCCCAAATTGCACGAGGTGGCGTGTCATGGCCTGCTCTCGATAGCGGCGTATCTGCGCGCTACGGACAACAGCAAACTCATAGTCGCGATCAACGCGCACAAACGCGCCCTGGAGCTGCGCACGATCGTCGTAGCGACCAGAACGTCGAATCGGAGCGAAGATCGCGCATCCACGAACGACACGGTGATTAGGCGCGAGCTCAATGCCTGTATCGATCTGGCGTGGCGCGATTTCGACCAGAACGGCAAATCGACGCGTCTTCGGTTCATCGACGACCGTAGTGCGTGTCCACCGGCTCGATCGCGCGATAATGGATCTCACGAACGTTTGACACCGCGCAACGCCATTCGCCTGTTCTTCGCCTTCGGAGACGTAAACATGCTCAACTGCGAGGACGGTTACGTGCTGAACGAGCAGACGCGCATCATCGCGGACACTACTCGCGGCACTACTGTGCCGTCGGGTAGGCTTGTCGTGCGCTCTTCCAGTCACGTTTTTGTCTCGCATGACTCTCGAGTATACGCACGATCTGGGCGTGCGCGTGCACGTCGGCACATTTCGAACTCTGGTGCCGTTGTGCGACGAGCAGCAGCAGCAACAGCAACAACATCGACACCTAGACGGTCACGGATTCGCCACCAACACCACTGACAGCGAGCCGTTGCGATTCTTCAGCGCGTCGAGCGGTGAAGTGCACGTGACTCAGCACACGCCCAGACGCGTCGACGCGGCGGCGACGAACGCGAAACACGAGAGCGCGCGTTGCGTCATATTGGAACGAACGTACGATCAGTACGTGACGTGGCACGCGTCGTATCTGCAGCGCGCTTTTGACGACTGCGGGACGCAGAGTCCTGCGTCGGCCAAAGTTCATTCACGCGACGATCAATCCGCCAGCAACGGCGAGGATTCGTCGTATCGCGAATCGTTCACCTACATCGACGGTCCGATTCGCGAAGCCTCGGTGGAGATTCGCGCCAAGTACGCGCGCGTGATTCTGCGCGCCGTCGGCACGCGGCAAACCGTCAAACTGCAAAACTCGTTCGGTCAGAAAGGCGTGGCTCATTACGCTGATCTGAGCGATCTCGTCACCGATCGCGGCGAGCGCGTGGATTTGGTGTCGTCGATATACAGTCTGCTCGGTAGGTTCGCGTGCGGACAATTGCTTGAGCAACGGGATGCGTGTCGATACGTGTTCTCCCGTCGCATCGGTATGTGCGTCGGCAGCGGCGGTTACGGTTACTTCTTCGCGAGCGACGATTCGGCGCACAATTTCATCTACAGCGTGAAGCGCGACGGTGAGAATCCGATGCGCGTGTGTAAGCTCACGTACGACAGTTTTCTGGAGAACGGTATGTCGAGCTCCGCGCTCGTCAAAGCCAGCGAGTTCGAGTACGGTCTGAACAATCCGTACGCCGGATTGCCGCGAAACGTGTCGCGCGCTCTCGACTGTTACGGCGCGTACGATCGACGCGTGCATCTGCGCTCGCAGCGTTTGCTCGTCGCGCGGCGACAAGCGCTGGATCGCGCGACCGTTCGAGCGATTGATCGGGCCAGCGACGCGTTCTCCGGCGACAACGCGCAACAAATAGACGACAGGATCATCGCGAGTCGCAAGAGAAAGCGCGATTGCGATGCTCCGCCGTGAAAGCGCACGCTGGCGCGTCATTGCTCGAGGAACTGCGCGCCGTGGAATCGCTGCTCGCCGACATCTGGAGCGGGGTGGATCGAATCGCGAGGGCTGAAGAGCCATGGCGCAACGATGAAACCGCAACCTCGATGGAGAATGCAGTCGCGGAGCGAGCTCGTTGATCGCGCGACGATGATGAGACCGTACCGGCCAACGACAGCTGCAACAATGATGACGACGCTTCTTTGCTCGTCCGTACGCTCGCCCGTCTGCGCGATTCCGAGTTCGTGCAACGTCTGTGTCACGTTATGTCGCGTCGCGATCTCGACGAGCAACGCTCGCGCGAGCTCAACGCCTCAACGTTGAAATTGGCACGTCGACTGCGCCAATTGTGCCATTCCTCGCCCGCTTTCGCAACGCGACGAATTCGCCTGGACCGACGATTTCGATTATCATCGGCGAGAGGAGACGGCGCCAAACTCTGCACGCGGATGCGCCTCATGCTGAACGACGCGACGACGGCGGTGAATCTCGGCGGTGAATGCACCTCGATGGGCGAAGGTAACCAAGCTTCTCGCTGCTGCTGCTGCTGTCACGAGCCTGTCATTTGGCTACAATTGCTCGCCGCGACTGAACGATGCGACGAACTGGAGAAGGATAGTCGCAGCGGCGTCACTGGCCTTTCAACAACAACAACCGAAATGACACCGACTGCGAGCAATTTTGCGATGTTACGATCGCGAGTTTTTTGCGAATACGACGCACGAACCTGTCTGAAGCGTTGCATCGCGCGCTCGTATTTTGCGCGAAGATCGCGCGCGACGCGCAACCTGTTTCGCGAAAAATTTACCCAACTGCTCGACCGGGTGAAACGAGCGCGAGCCGAGCGCGACGAGCTGCGAGACAAACTCGCGCGACTGCCCACCGCCATCGAGAGCGAGGATCGCGAGATTGCGCTCGCGCGTGAACGTGTACTAGAGATGCGTCGTACCAATGAGGCGTTGACTGCGCGCGCGCGCGTCGCTGGTCAAGTCGCTCAGGTGCTGAGCGAGATAATGGACGGAATGCGCGACGCGTTAGCCTCGAAGGAGCGAGAGCGGGCGCATTCGTTGGCCGAGCTGCGAGCGACATTGCAACGCGCCACGACGGAACGCGACGCGGCGATCGCTGCGGTCAGACGTGCGATGCGCGCACTGGGCATGACGACGTCATCATCATGCTGCGCGGATCTCGACGCATCGTCGCGCTTCGAGTCTGCGCTGAGCGACGTGCTGACGCAATGCTCGACCGGCGCGGCTCTGCTGCTGCTGGTCGGCGGAAACGTCATCACCGACCATGACACCGGAACGCGAGGCGACAACGACTCGCTGGTTTCGCTGGCGACGGATCTGCACGCTGTGGTGGCGCGATGCGGTGGCGCGATGCGACGCCCTGAAGCGACTCAACGTTATCTGGGGAGGGGAGAGTGTCGTGAGCGTGGAGCGTCAGATAGCTCAGTGGTCTAGAGCAGTCGCCCGGCAAGCGAAAGACCCGGGTTCGATTCCCGGTCTAGCGACTACCGCGCTCTCGATATTTTTCTCTCCTCGGAACGAAAAATGAGATGCAGGTCCCGAACGCACGGCGTCCCGTCGCCACCTAGTACGCCCTCCTTCTTTCGTGGTCGCGCTGAAAGAGACGATCGCGCTGCGAGACAAACGCGACATGCTGACGCGCGCCCGAGATCTGTTCGCGTCCCGAGCTCGATCGTACGTCGAACTGACTCGTCGGTACGCGTCGTGGCGCGACTGCGTGACCGATGCGTTGTTGCGCGAAACCGCAACGCCGATGCGACGTGATCGCGTCGCGAGTCGTCGAGGTGACGATCGACTTACGGATCTGGGACGCGACGCGTACGACGCGATAATTCGCGTGACGCTGCAACCTCGCAATCGCGCGACCTCGTTCGTCGTGCTCAGCGACATTGTCGACGCGCAATCAGCATCACCATCACCACCGGTCAGGGGACCCGCTTCCTCGAGCGACGCGAGAAGCGGCGGTGTCCCCTGCCTCGATTTCAACGGCTCGATCGCACTGTGTCGCGTTCGAGAACAACGCCGGAATCGTTCGCGAGGATTCCTATCGCGATCGTCACTTCGAAAACTCCGCAATCGCCAGCTATGTCGAGGCTCGGGCCCTATCGCGGACGACCGATAAAGCACCGTCGAGCGTTGGAGCGACGATGCGCGCAGCAATGTGCTGCGCGCTCGCACCACCGTCGCAACATTCCTCAGCGCCGAGCGAGCGCGATCTGCTCGACATGGTGTCGAGAATTTCAAAATAATCTCGCGTCCCGCTTTCACGAACTGGATCGAGCAGATGTATCGCTTCGATCGACAGTGACCACATCGATCTCGGCCGACGTGCGTATATTCGCGATGGATCCCATTTCGCTTCACGATGGATCCTATTTCGAGGTACGTGTGGATCCTATTCGGTGCTGATTGCGCACTCGAGCGGATCCTATTTGTACGCGCAATCGTGCCGAATGAGTGCCGCGCCAAGGATCCCGAGTAGTTCCCGAAAATCTCCAAATTGACAAAAAATGTGGTTATTTTGACCATTTTGACGAATTCGGGGAACACTCTGTAATCCTTGAGCGGTTCCCCGTTTTGTCTCGAACGGGGGCCCGAGTGGTTCCCAGTGTACGTCTCGCGATCGTGAAATAGGAACCAGCGACGCGCTCGAAAAGGTAAGACGCTGCTGCTCGCTAATCGACCCAGTTTTTCTCTCCCACGTGCAGAAATTGTCAGAGTTGTTTTTTTTCAATTATTCGATCGATCGAGAAAGTACGGTCGATCGTCGTCGTCGCGTCATGGGCGCGAGCATTACTCTGTGCGTACTGGTGATTATAGCGCTCATCGTAACGCTCGTGTACTTTGTCGGTCAGACAAAGGTGCAGAGTAACGAGCGACTGAACCAGCTGTTCAACGACAAAACTCTCGAAACGCTGCGCATCGGTGTGGCTGTGATCGCCGACAAGATCAGTAAGTCCGTAGTGTCGGCTCACGTGGCGACCATGTTGTTTCCCGCTGGGAAATAATCGCCGCTCTCGTAATCTCTCACACTGATCGCGGCGCGCCGTTAGCGCGCGGTGATTATTCTCTTCGTTGCTTGAATGTCTTCGCGGGGTGTCGCTGCCGATTCCACCGAAGATGTGGCTATTTCGGTATACCATCGCGCGACCGAGGACTTTGTGCGTGCGTACAATCGGGAGGCCCGACTGATACTCGAGTTGAAACGCACCGATAACGGGGCAGCCGCGGACAGACACGTGGCCCTCGGTACCTTGGTAGCGCAATACGCCGCGTGCTACGACCGCTTCATCGTCGATCAGACGGATCGACAATTTCTGCGCAGCGAAGTGGTCGCTCGATGCATGCAAGCGCTGTCGTTGCGATCTATGCAATTGAGCGGTTTCGCCGACTTGGCGGTGTCGCTCGGCACCGTACGAAACATTCACGCCGACATCGAACGAGCGCGACGCCGTTTGGACGACGCACGGGACAGCGATGCCGCGGCGGGTGACGATTCCGCGGACGACGGCGATCCGCGTACGCGCACCGACGGGCTGTACGAGTATATTGCGCACGAGAGTTTGAAAGTGTCGCTCAACGATTTGCCCGAGGACCAGCACGCGCAATTGCTCACCGCGTACTTTGTCATCAGCGGTAGTAACGGCGCCGTGACGGCCGGTGACGACGACGACGTTGCCGCTGCTAAACGAGCTAGCGCGCGAGCGGGCGCCAATGTCATTCTATACGGGCCGCCCGGCACCGGTAAAACGGCAGCAGCACGCGCGATCGCGCGCTCGCTCGGTCTCGATCTAGCGTTTGTCAATGCGGAAAATTTACTGTCGGCGCATCGCAGCGAGACCGAGAAGAATCTGCGCGCGTTGTATCGAAAGATGCGCGCTCTCGTTCGCGTCACCGGACGCAACGTGGTGATGCTGCTGGACGAAGTGGACGGCTTGGTGAAGAATCGCAGTAACGCCAGTGTCACGAGCGGCGAGTACAGTCTTCTCACGCGATTTCTCATGATTCTTGAACCGAACGACAGCACGGACAACTACGGAATGTTTAGCATATTCACGACCAATCGACTGAGCAATCTGGACGATGCGTTTCGCCGTCGGTGCGCCACCGTGTTTATGGCTACGTGAGCACGAGCGAGGCCACGGTGCGTCTGTTCGACTCGTTCCTGCACGATTCGGTGGATTATGCAACGCGCAGAAGTCGAGTCGTCGATCACGATTCGTCGCGTATGTCGGTACTGGGTACCGGGCGATTTTGCGAGTTTCAAGCACACGATAATAACACCGCTGCGTCTACAGCGTTACTTTGAACTCTCGGGCACCATGTATGAGGCGTTCGTGGCCGCGCGCGTAACATCATCGTCAAGCGCGCGCGACAACGATCGCGAGATTCGAGTCACGTTTCCGTTGTTGTCGTACACCGAGGTGTCACGCGCGATGCAATACGAGCCGATCACGCCGCCGGACAAGTACGCGGAATACGATCCGCCGTCGCAACAGCGAGCGAAATTGTCCTAGACTGCGTTCCGCGATGTCGACTGATATTGGTGCAATAAGCACGCCGAATAAACACATTTGCTCAAAAGAAAAACATTGCGAGTATTTTGTTTTACCCATTTCTTTTCATTACGGTGTGCGAGTATCAATTGTAACAAAGTGTCAATTACCCTCTGGTTAATGTACAATCGCTCATCTGTACATTTTTTGTTCGCTCGCGTCTCCGAAGTTAAGCAAACGTCGAGCGATCGTGCAGTTGTACAATCGTGCGATCGCGCGTTCGAGCGGTTGTACAGTAGTAACGTCCCCCGTACGTTGTACGGAGCAGTAGCGTTCCCTGTCCTATTGTACCTCTGAGTGCACGATCGCTCGACGCTCGAGTCGAGCCTGTTGAATTGCTAACGTAGCATTTATTGTGCAAATGTGATTTATCGTACAAACGACAGCTGCTTTGGTCGTATGAACGATGGAATAAAATGATTGTAACGAGGCGTTTTAGTCGCGCTGTAGAGGTGCAACTTTGTACGTGTAAATACGAATAAACTCATTTGTTCTTGAAGATATTTTATTGTACATTTTTTCATGCTATATTTCGCGCGCGATACGATACGTTTTTCATCGAATGAACAATCGATGTGGAAAACGATCATTGTTCTACGTTCTCCGGTAAATCGCGAAATTCGGTCACTGGATTGAACCATAAACCGCTCGGGCACTCGACTACGCGCGGCTCGATGCCTACGCGACATTGAATGTAGCTGGTCTTGTTCTCAGGATTCGATAAATTTGCATTTTCATCATTGTCCAGCGACGCGCATGGATCCGGTTTGGCGGAGGTGGTAGTAGTGGTAGTGGTGGTTGTGCCTTTGGTGACGGCTGCGGTCGTCGTCGTTGTGGCCAATGTAGTCGAAATGATCTTTTGCCGTTCCTTTGTCCAACATACCGCATCGTCGGCGGAAACGCACATGTTGACGGTATTGTCAAATAGTTCACCGGACGGACACATCACGAAGTCACACACTTTATGTACGACGGCGGACAAATATAACGATGAACATCCTCGTCGGGCGTAAATGCTCGCGGTGATGTAGCGGATGATGATGTTTGGACTGTGCCCGTCTCAGTAGTGGTCGTGATGCTGTCTTTCGGCCCTGTTGGCTCTTTGCTGCGAACATCGAGACAATCGCGACCGGCAGCGGCACGACGGGCCGGATAGCAGCACGTATTTTTCGCAAAGTCACACTCACCGAGTTCCCAACTGTACGTTGATGTTTCGTTCTGAGACATACCGCAAGCGCCGCGCTGCAAAGTCACGCGTACATTCTGCAATATTGCTTCATCGCCGATAATCGCGCCGATATGAAGGGTAGGATGGCTCGTGGGATCGTTTGCGCCGTATCGCTCAAGTTGCGTCAATACGCGTCTCACGCTGTCCACAGTGAGCGATGTATACTTGAGCGGTGAATACGAGGTCACATCCGCACTACCAATTGTAAGAGGAAGCACCACACAAATTTTTTTTTTCTCTTCTTTATTTTCTCTCTCTCCTCTCCCTGGAATCACCATAAATTTTTCTAAGTCCCCTAACTACAAATTTTTCTAAGTCCCCTAATTATAAATTTTTCTAAGTCCTTCGAACCTAAATTTTTCTAAGTCCTTCGAACCTAAATTTTTCTAAGTCCCCTAACTACAAATCTTTCTAAGTCCCTCGAACCTAAATTTTTCTATGTCCTTGGAACCTAAATTTTTCTAAGTCCTTCGAACCTAAATTTTTCTAAGTCCTTCAACCCAAAACTTTTCTAAGTCCCTCGGTCGAGAATTTTTCTAAGTCCCTCCGCACCGAAATTTTCTAAGTCCTAATTTCCAAACCCCCACTACCTCCCCACTCCAGAGGAAAATTCGGCGGCTCGGGAAAGCCGCAGCTCAGGGACCGCGGAGCGTCCGAGAGTCAGTCTCAGTCGTGCAGTGATCTGGTGCAGTGCTTCCTCCATCCCTCCTAGGGTCTAGTATAAGTGCTAAATCTAACTTAGAATATTTTCGTGAGTTTTAACTTAGAATATTTTCATGAATGTGAACTTAGAATATTTTCACTAAATCCAACTTAGAATATTTTCGTGTATTCGTTTTAGTTAAAATATATTCTTGTCAGCCGATTCAAGGTTAGATGTGAACTTAGAATATTTTCACTAAATCCAACTTAGAATATTTTCGTGTATTCGTTTTAGTTAAAATATATTCTTGTCAGCCGATTCAAGGTTAGATTCACTCTCCCATCTCCTCCCATCCCCGACCGCTAACGCATTGGAATCGCCTAGCTGATAACTGGCCGCCGATTCTTCAAGGTATTCGCATCACTAGAATAGGGGCGTATAGGCTGCGGCTCGATCGCACCGCCCATCCGTAGACGCACAGGTTGCGGCTCGATCGCACCGTCTACTAGTTGCTCGAAGGCGCATAGGTTGCGACTCGTTCGCACTGCCTGACAGAATAGGGACCTCCGAATTAACCACACGAATGCGGCTGGCCGGAGTCACGGGAATGATTCCAAATGCGCCCTGTATGCCGGGGTGGTCGTAAAAAATTCATCAAAAAATTGGAATACCAACTAAAACATGGACAAGCGTACCACCCTTACCTAGGTGCCGAACCCACCAACTCCGCTCCCGACGAGGGGCCTCCTCGCTCCACTGAATCCCCTCGCTCTCCAGAATCTCCTGAGTCGCTCGTGCCAGAGCACCCGAAAGCTACCGCTCGCAAATCATACAGTGTTAGCAAGATCGATTGTGATACCCATCCGCGACTACCGATCATTCGACGCGGATTCTCGCCACGAGACCCGAGGCCTGCTTTCTACCGTCGACTGCGTGCAGAGATCCTCCACTACTACTACGGAGCATCTACCCCGCCTCACACCCTCCGCATCTGTAACGAGAAAACTCCGACCCTCGAACAGCTTCGTGGGCACGTGCGCAACTCCATGACACAGGTGTGCCAGATCATTACATTGGATTAAAGGAACTGGTGAGTGCCAATTGCTCTATACTCCGCGGAACATCGTGTCGCGCCCGCCAGATCGCGCGTATCCCTGGGGAGAATTACGCGATTCGTTTGACCCAAAAATTGCGATCTAGCCCCGCGTCCAGGCCCGAGCACCTGCAGCCTAGCATCGCAGCCGCGGCCGACCGGGACGTAATAGAGGACAGTAGTAGTCGCGAGCGATCGTCGTTCGCAGCTTGTCCTTCGAACAGCAGCGCAATGTACTCGCTGCAATTTCGTTCGCTCGGTACGCGTGTCCATACCTGCCAGTTGCCGCTCGAATCGCGCTTTCGATCATCCTCGATCGCGCGCGACAAGTCTTGCGTGATTATGCATTGCAATAGTTCCTCGGATGTTTGCTCACGGTGGTCGTCGTTGGCTACGGTCGTGGTGGCGTTGCAAATTGTCGAAAAGACGAGAGCTACGGCGAGTATCGCGATCTTGTCCATGATGTTAGCTGAGGGGGGTAGAGTCTCGTTCTTTTTTTTCGTTTCCGAGCGTAGAAGGACTACGAGAGTATATTATGCTGCGCGACTACTGGACTTTAGATAACTGCGGATCAGAGACGTATTAGTGCTCGACTGTACGATCGGCTCGTGTTTTATACTCGAGCAATGTTTGATTTTCGTTTCCAAGAATACACGTGTCTTCTGGACGCGCCATACACGACAAACATTGTCGAATCATGAAAAAAAACAATTTTTTTCATTCCGCGCATGCGACAAAACGCACTCGCAAACATCACGAGACATTCGACCCCTTATCTGTGTATATTTGCGCAGATGTCGAACATGGTGTGGCAGGCATCATCATCGGACGTCGAGTCATCGGATGATAAAGATGATGATGCGGAATACGCCACAAGGCGCAACGATGAGCAAAAAACATCACGCAAAAGCATCAACCGTGGTAGGCTGACACTGGCTGATCAAGTGACGCTGGTGCGCTTGTGGTATCGATGCGACGGAAATGTGCGTCGTGTCATGTCCATTTGGCGCGCGAGCAACGCCGAACGCAACGAGAGCGCGATGGATTCGACAGTGGCCGACTGGCAAAAGGTACCTTTTGACGGTATTGGCGGACGAACGTTGTGCAGTAGAACGGTATTGGCGACGGTGCGACGTTTCTACGAGTCAGGCAGCGTGCGCGATCGGCCGCGTCCTGGTAGACCGCGCAGTGTGCGCGTCGACGCCGTTATAGATAGAGTGCGAGACAGCGTTTCTCGCGATCACTCGCTCTCGACCAGAAAAAGGTCGCGCGCCCTAAACATTTCGCGCTCGTCTCTAATGCGCATACAGCGACTAGATTTGCATCTTCGAGCATACAAGGTGTAATCGATGCACGCGTTGACGCAAATCCACGCGGAGCGCAGACTCGCGTTTTCGCGGCGTTTATTGCGACACGTCGAACGCGATCGATCGTTCGTGCACCGCATCATAATAGGCGACGAGGCGCACTTTGATCTGTCGAGTGTTGTGTTCAATCGTCAAAATGTACGATTCTGGGGCACGCAGAATCCGCGAATATGTTGCGCTAGGATCGCGCAGGGCGCCCCACGCGTAACCGTATGGTGCGGTGTATCCAGCAGCGGTGTT